TTGAAAAGCATGGGGGATAAGATGGGAGGTTTGCAGGACCCCACAAGCCAGTGGCCAGGGGCCTGAGCAGGCATCCCCCAACACCACCATCTGGATCCGGTCCTCCAGGAATGAGTGGAGCTACTGCAGCACAGTGCCCCAAGACCCATTCCAGAGAACCAACCTAGAAGGATACCATGGTGGCATTGAAAGCCACTGAGAGATCCAGGAGAACTATTAGGGACACATTCCCCCAGTTTGGTTCTCTGCAGAGGTTATCCACCAAGGTGACCAAAGCTGTCTCAGTTCTGTGCCAGGCCTAAAACCAGACTGACGGATCCAGATAATCGGTTTCATTGAAGAATCTCTGGATTTGGGGTGACCACTACCCACTCTAGAACCTTGCCCAGGAAAGGGAGATTGGAAATAGGCCAATAGTTGTTGAGGTTGGCTGGGTCCAGGGTAGTTTTCTTTAAAACTGGTCTTACGACTGCCTTTTTCAGGCTGGATGGTATTTCACTCTTGCCCAATGAGGCATTGATGATGTTAGATATCCAATAGGCCAATCACCCTCCAGCTTGCTTAAAAAGGGCAAGGTGGTAACCCTCACAGCTCCTAGGATCTTGTCCATGTCCTCAGGCTGAACAAACTGAAATGAGTCCATCAAACTAGGACAGACAGGCACCTTGAGTACATCTACAGGAGCTGTCATAATTTATTTATTTATTTATTTATTTATTTATTGCAGTTACTTATACCCCGCCCTTCTCACCCCCTAGGGGGGGACTCAGGGCGGCTTACAAACAAAGGCACAAATTCGATGCCTATCAAAAATACAGCATATATAATAAAAAATACAGCATATATAAAACAATATAAACATTTAGCAGCATTAAAACACATCACTACATATAATAAAACAATTTCATGCACAGTGAAATTCAGAGTTCCGAGATGTCCATTCATTCCAACAATTCTTGCTCATCAATAGTGATCAATAGTGATGTCTAAGTCAGAGGGGATCTGAGCAACTTTGCAAAATGATGGCCGAAATCACTACATCAAGTTGCTGAGTGTTCAAGAGACCCATCTTGGGAGTCAGGATGAAAGCACCCCCAACCACTCGAAACAGCTCCGCCGGTCTATTGACTGCAGACACAATGCAGACAGCCGAGTGTCAAATTGATACAGTCTGATACCACTTTAACTGCCATGACTAGGGAATTCTGAAATTTGTTGTTTGATGGGGCACCAATACTAGTTGGCAGAGAAAGAAAGAAAACACATAGTATGAATACAACTCTCATGATTCCACAGCATTAAACTATGTCAGTTAAAGAAGTATCAAACTGCATTAATTCTATAGTGTATATGCAGTTTGTATAGTCTATTACATAAGTACTTCCACAAGATTTCAAACTGGCACCTGTCCCAGTTCCCACCTGGAAATGCCAGGAATTGAACCAGAGGCCAGTAAGAAAAACAAAGTTGGCCTGCTAAAACTAGGGAGATTAGTTGTATGAGTTGAGTTGTTGAGAAACAACTTCATTGAGTTGTTTCTCACCCACCACCATCCATTTGTGCTGTACAAATTCTTTTATTTATAAGAGAAAATCATTGACTAATTCCTTTCAAGAGACGAGAAACACAGATGTCTGGACCCGTTCTGGATAATAATGTCAATGAAAAGCAGGCTTTATTAAAAAAATAAATTTTCAGTCCTTATTATCTGATCTTTTTGCAAAGTGAACATGAGGGATAAGTAATTGTTTTTGTTCAACTGAAACTGTATTAATGAAGTCTTTTGAAGTAGGAAATGCTTTGAAGAAACCATTATGATTATTCAAGTAATAAAATGTGGAGGGTTTTGGAAATGTATGGTTATTGTTATTTGTTGTGGAGTTGATTTTGACTTAAGGTGACCCTATAAATGAGAGACCTCCAACATCCTCAGTCATCAACTGCTGTGCTTACAACCTCAATGGTTAGTTGAGTGCCTTCCAAGTTGGGTGTTTCATATCTTGTAAAATTAATTTGTTGTTACTATATTCTACTGTTAGACAAAGGGCAGAGTGCTTGACAGATTTCCTGCCTCTTCTGCCAAACAACATGGGACACTAGAGAGATTGGATCCTTCAAAAGCAGCCTTAGGGGCTATATATGGGCTGAGAGCTATACATTGACTTTTGTTCTAGAGAGCAATTTTTCAGGGTGCATTGGGAAGAGGTTAGAACAGTCTGTGTACTCTGAACCAATACATAGCTCTTAGGGTCCAAGCCTCTTGTGTTTTCCTTTCACTGTGTACCTGATGTGCCTCCTATGTTTGGTTATTTTGGCTCCAATGAATATCCTGTGCTGTGGATTATATCAAAGCCATGTTCATGTGATGTGTGGATAAGCGATTGTGTCTCAACATATCTCTGTTCATTTTCTTGTGGAAATGTTTTGACGACCTCCTGGATACCTAGGCTTTTCACAATGAAGCCATCAAAATACGTGCTTCCTTCAATAAAAGTTAGTCACTCATTGACTAGAAATATGGTAAATCCTCAAGCCTTACAATAGAAATAAGTGGGATTTTTTTTCTGAGCAATCAAATATTACAAGCAAACTATTGTCCTTAAATGTATTGTCAAAGGCTTTTGTAGCTGGAATCTCCGGATTGTTGTGTGTTTTCAGGGCTGTATGGCCATGTTCCAGAAGCATTCTCTCCTGACGTTTTGCCTGCATCTATGGCAGGCATCCTCAGAGGTTGTGAAATCCGTTGGAAACTAGGAAAATGGGGTTTATATAGCTATGGAATGTCCAGGGTGGGAGAAAGAACTCTTGTCTGTTTGAGGAAGGTGTTAATGTAGCAATTGGCCACCTTGATTAGCATTTGATGACCTAGCAGCTTTTCAAGGTGTGACTTCTTACTGCCTGGGGGAATCCTTTGTTGGAAAGTAATTAGCTGGTCCTGATTGTTTCTTGTCTGGAATTCCCCTGTTTTTGATGCAGGCAAAATGTAAAGAGATAATGCTTCTGGAACATGGCCATACAGTTCAGAAAACACGCAACAACCTATTGTCCTTCAGTTTGAAAAAGCAAAAAGGAAAAGCTTGGTAGTAGTTGTTATTATTGTTTGTTATTGTTATATTTCTTTATGCCCTGCTTTATCTCTCCTGAAGGAGACTCAAAACTGCTTTAGTATTAGTATACAATTTAAAATATACAAACATGCAAACATTAAAACAAAATTAAATATAAATGACATTAAAATTTTCACAGTGTTGAAGAGAACACACAAATACTTCCACAGTAAGTGATATTTCCTCAGATGGACATATCACTTCAAACATTTACATGAGAGATGTCTTACTCTACTGAGATATGGAGGGGGTTGCAGTCCAAGTACATGATGTAGGCTGGCTATGAACAGAACTGGTTCTACCCTTAGGCAGAGTGAATAATGGAAATAGAGTTGAAAGAGACCTATTCTGCCACATAGGAATAGGCAATCAAAGCATTCTGATAGACAGCTTCTTTAAAAAAAACTCCAGAGAAGAAGACTCCACTAACACTTCAAAGCAGCACATTTTACTGTCAAGATAGCTCTCTTACCATCAGGACATTTTTTCCTAATGTTTAAGTGGAATCTCTTTCCCTGTGGTTTGAATCCATTGTTCCATGTCTCAGTCTTCCAAGCCACAGTGATGCAGCTGATTTGAGATAGTGATCTGGAGTGTCATGAAAAGGCAACAAACTGTTAGTAATTTCCATGAACAGATATGCTCTACACAAACCAGACAGACACAAAGTTTTGGATATAAATAGGCCACAGCTGCATTAAGTAGGGTTGGTACACACATGGGTCTGGATCCAGGCATCTATCAACCTGATTCTGATTGACAAGCCCAAAATTCCAAGCCAATCTTGGCCCCCACCTACACTGGCATATAACACAATTTGAAACTGTATTATATGGTCAATGTAGACTTATATAATGCAGTTTAGCTGCATTGAGCATCATTATATGAGTCTACACTGACCATATAATGCAGTTTCAAACTGTATTATATTGCAGTGTAGATGGAGTTTGGAATGGCATGTGAGGATCCAGCTGTGCAGATGCCTCAACGTGGTCCTGCAGCCACCAGCAGATGTAATATGTCCCATCCCCAGCTGAATGATAACATTAAATACCATGTCCCAATGTATGATACTCCCATTCCACTACCAATGACTGACCATCATTGGTTAACTGGTCCTAGATCCAAGGCCCCATGCTAACCACCCCTAAAAAGTTGTGAGAAATAGCTTAACATAGCCTGACATAACTGAAAGGCATATGAAACACAATGAGTTAGATTTGAAAGATTTTTTTAAAGTTTTAAAACTATGTATACCAGATGTATTAATGCAGCCTTGTACCAAAAAAAGTATTTTTACTCACAGGGTAAAGCAAACTTTTTGCATTTTTACCAAGCATTTGGATATACAAGATGATATTAGGCCCTGTTCGATCCTACTTCATTCCCTCTGTTCCTGTCGTTGTCGTCCCCTGTCCTCCATCCCCCAGTTCTTCTGCCAGGCTCCTCTCCCAGTACAATATGAGACTTATATCCATGAGAAATATGTTTCCGCAATTCTTGTGGATACATGGAATCACAGGTACTGGGCCAGTGGATACCAGGGGTAATACCGTGTCTGTTTTCAGATATTTTGGTCGGAAATATGAAGTAGCATTGCAGTTTTCTCTCAGGCCCCTTCCACACAACTGAATAAAATCCTACATTTTCTGTTTGAACTGAAATATATGGCAATGTGGACTCAGATAACCCAGTTCAAAGCAGATATTGTGGGATTTTCTGCTTTGATATTCTGGGTTATATGACTGTGTGGAAGGACCCTCAGTATTTGCCACAAAGTGGTTTGTTAAAGTGGCAATTATTGCTGTTTTCTGATTGCTGGCATAGAAATGTGTATGTGGGGTTATCAGTGTTGCCTCACTTTCTGACCTTTGTGTTGCTTTTTGACTGCAGATTGACTTTGAAGATGTGATTGCTGAACCTGAGGGAACCCACAGTTTTGATGGAATCTGGAAAGCTAGCTTCACCACCTTCACTGTGACAAAATACTGGTTTTATCGCTTATTGTCGGCACTCTTTGGCATTCCCATGGCTCTCATCTGGGGCATTTACTTTGCCATCTTGTCGTTCCTCCACATCTGGGCGGTGGTGCCCTGCATCAGAAGCTATCTGATCGAGATCCAGTGCATTGGCCGAGTTTATTCTATCTTCATACACACCTTCTGTGACCCACTTTTTGAGGCTATTGGCAAAATGTTCAGCTCCATCAAAGCAACTGTACAGAAAGAAGTGTAAATGATGTGTTGAAGGAACCTGAAGACTATCAAGGCTGTCAGCAGTTACCAGAATCCAGCAGCATCAGCTAATGAAGCAATCAACCTGAATTCAGGCAAAGAAGTCACAAGTTTCTTTTAATCCCTCCTGAATTTTATATTATTCAGTGTTTTTAGGAGGGAAAACAATCTCTATTTTTAAAGAAGAAGAAAAAAACAAATTTAAATGGCTGCTTTTTTATTCCTAGCTGCCCATTGATCTGCTGACCCTTAACAAACTGACTCATTATTCTGCTTACACCTTCTGTTCATTTGTTGCAAGTTAAATTCACAGCGCTATAATAAAGAACTGCCAAAAAAAATTGCTTTCCAGCACTACTGTAACACTGCTCTTCATTTTACTGTGAGCGAAAAGGGGTCTAAAGCTGTTACAGCATAATGAACACGACAAGCTGGCAGATTTTAATAGAATGTTCTTTTTTCAGACGTATTGTCAGTCAGCTGTCGCTCTGTACTGTAGTGAGCTATATATAACTGCTATGCAGAGAGAGAGAGAGAGAAAGTTCTAAGTAAATAAATAATATATATGCTCGAAAGAAGGAAAGAAAGAAAATCCTTTAGGAGGACAGTGCCTTCAAACAACTTTTTCCTATCCACAGTAAACGACTGCAGTGTGCTTCCTCTTTCCTGCCTTGTTGTTGATCATGGGAGATTATTTGAAGATTTTTTTTTATTGTATATCACAAAAAGGAATACACCCAAATGCTTTTTCTAATAAGAAAACTGTAATTTCTAAAAAGAAAGAAAGAATTGTGCATCTAATCCAGTATCATGAACTTCTGATTGGTTGCTTTTGTGCCTGATTTGCTGGTTCTCCTCCTCCTTACTTGGCCACACCAACACTTCCTTGCTGAGCTATGATCCTACAGATTTTGATGCTCAAGATCAGAATTCAAGTCAGAAATATATTGTGAATGTATTTTCTACACAGCGCTTCCATCAGCAAAAAGGTCTCTTACACGTCTTACAATGCAATGGTTTCTCCTTGAAGAGAGAACTAACCTTTTAGGAACATGTTCACAAACATAAGTTTCAAATTGAGTAAGCAAATGTTTGTCCCTGCGGAGGGACACTTTTATTTTATTTTATTTTAGGCTGCTTTCTTTTTTCTTTTTTTTCTTTTTTTTTTCAAAATGACTGTCAAGGTTAGTTCAACTAATGCAGTGCAATCTATGAACTGTGTTTGCAACAGTGGTGTGGGAAAGTTGTAGGAAGGGTTAACTTTGCCATTCCTCGTCCATTCAAATCAAGATGCTACTAGCACATCCATGCTTTTCTTACTTCACAGTCATACACCAGAAGAGTGACTTCTGCAACCCTCCATTGTGGTTCACTCCCTTCCTAAATTGAACTGTACCTATGAATCAGGAAGACTTCATGGAGGAAATCCCAATGAAGCCGACTGGAAAAATACAGAAACAGATAATTTCCAATTTCGTTTTCTTCATGCTATGACCTGCTTGGTGGTTTTGCCATTACCACGACCTAACTGTGGTTTGTTGGTTTTGTGTGAATCTGCTTGTTGCTTTTTTGAAAAGCTGTGAGGCTACAAGTTGCTGGGATAAACTTCTTTCTGAATTCAAACTGAGGAAATTAAAGCTTCAAGCTTACTCTGGCTTGTTTGAATTCTGAGCACAAAGCCTGAAGTGCCTTCCAGGTAGTGCAAGCCCAAGGGTTATTATTAGAGATAATCTCAACATAGTTTGTTATACTATGTAACTGCTTCAACCTCTTTCCTTTATCTTTACATTCATAGTATACTTACAGTGCAGTCCTAAGCAGCTTTACCCAAAAGCAGTGGGTCGGGGGGCTGGTTTTCCCCATCCAGAAATGCCATGGCTTCCCATGCAGCTGCACTGTGAAAAGATGGCAACAAATCATGGCAGCAGATTTCAGCACCAAAATGGAAAATGGCATCGAGCCATGCCAAAAATGCTTGTTTAATTGTCACTTTTTTCTGGTTGCTTCTTCAGAAACCCATTTAAAAGACCATGGCTTGGACTGAGTTGGTGCCCAAATATAGATTGCTGTGCGGGGATGCCAAACTAATGTTGTAGATTACATGCAGGCTACATGCTGCTCATCCTCGCTTTACTGAATTATCATTAGGGCTGGCTGAAGATACTTTGCCACCTGACATGGAGCCCAAATGGCACTTCTACCCATAACCCAACCTTACCAGGCATGTTTTGTATTCCTGAAAGCCTCACGCCTTGCTTTCTTTTGTGTGCCCCCCTATACACACACACACTGATGGGAAGCAGACAGCTCTGTCCTGCTGCACAACAGGACAGGTCCTGAAATGCATGAGATTATAGCCCTTAGTCCCCTACCAATACTGCCCAGCTTGTGACTTAGAGGCAACCAATGTTGCTAAAGTCTTTTCCAAGACAGAGCCCAGTTTCCTTTGCTAAATTCATTGCCACCCTTTCCCACAAGATGTTTCCTTCAACTGCCATTGCAGTTGAAGTTAAGGATTTTATTGCACGGGCAAACTGGCATAGCAGCAGGATGGACCCTATTGCACTATGTTGTGTGCATTGCCACCCTTTTTTCCTCAAGACGTTTCCTTCAATTGCCATAGCAGTTGAAGTTAAGGACTTTCTCGCCCTGGCAAACTGGCATAGAAGCAGGATGGTTCCTATAGTGCAATGCTGAGTGAAACTTATTGCCGGTCTGCCACCTCCCCATGACAAACCTGTCCTCTGCTATTGATGGGCAAAACTTGCCAAGAGCCACAATCACTACACAGTGCCACAACTTACCTGGTGCAATGATCCCCCAGTGGCTTCTGTGCCGGCATTTTTATTATACCTCGCAGAAATTGCGAAGTTGCTTTCATGAAATAAGTTTGCAAAAAATACTGAAGTGGCTGAACTGCAGAGGGCAGATCGCTGGGCCTTTAACCGGAAATGTTGTCACGAAATGGCAGGTCACCAAAGTGTCATGGTGCAGCGCTTTGAGGTGTGATAGGGACAATCATCATGTCATTAATTTGCTGTTATCCCTGATTGCATGAAAGCAACAGATAGCAGCATCATTCAGTAATGCAGTGGTTCTCAACCTGTGGTCCCCAGATGTTTTGGCCTTAAAGTCCCAGAAATCCTAACAGCTGGTAAACTGGCTGGGTTTTCTGGGAGTCGTGGGCCAAAACACCTAGGGACCCACAGGTTGAGAACCACTGCAGTAAAGCCTTTGGATAGTTTGAGTAGTAGACAGTTACCTTGATCTCAGGTGCTATGCATAGGGGATTCCCATCACACATCAACCAACTGTTCTTTTTAAAGTGAAGTCTTTGTATCCGTTTAATAAACAGCACAAGAGATGCACAGTTGTTGTGGGACAGCCAGAAAAATGATTTCCTTAATTGGGCCCCAATACGGAGGGACAAACGTATTTCCCCTTATTAATCTGTGACCATGACCAAGACATTCACATTTTTGTAACAAGAAAATGGGAATGTTTTACTGCAGAGATGCAGTTCTTCCTCCAAACAGAAGATGTATTGCTATTTGGCATACAGAAAGAAATGTTACACTTTCATCGGTGCCAGGAAATGCATAATTAATCTCCATTTCATGGTCACACACAATTTGACATCTTTTTGAAAGCTTTATTTTCATTTAACTTTTTATTTTTATTTTTAATTATTATCAAAGGATTTTGCCCATTTTAGTTCTAGTTTCAAACTAGTCCAGCTATGACACAATTCCTACTGAGAGTAGTGTCATATCATTTCTTTTACATTTCCCCCTAAAGAAAGCTTGTAGTGTGAGCTTATAGTGTGCAATACAACTCACCCCATTTTGTGCACGGCGCACACACTTACTCAAGCCATCCCTGCCATTGCTGCATTGTTTTTTAGGTCATGTAGCTCAGTGGCAGAGTATATTTCTTCCATGTTTAGGTCCTGGGTTCAACTCCAGCATTTTCAGGTAACACTAAGGTCCTTTCCACACAGCTAAATAAAATTCCACATTATTTGCTTTGAACTGGAATATAGGGCAGTGTAGATTCAGATAACACAGTTCAAAGCAGATATTGTGGGTTTTTCTGCCTTGTTATTCTGGGTTATATGGCTGTGTGGAAGGGCCCTAAAAAAACAACCTGCATGACACCCTAGATAGGCAATGCCAACCACTGGAAACCAGATGGACCATTGTTCTGACTCTGTGTTCCTAAACTTGTGTCCATCCTACAGGAAGGCAGTCTCCTCCTACCCTTCAGCTTTATATAGTGCAAGCTTAGAGCAACACTGGTGCGGGATCACAGCTTGTCCTCCAAAAATGCAAATAAATTAAATCTATTGTGTTTCACCACAGTGGAAACACATTGTAGATGTGATTGAATACTGTAGCTTAGGCCAGCTCGCCCCTTGTTGCTAGGATGTTTTATGAAAGCACATGCTCCCAAACAAGATGTTTCCATGTAGTTGCATAAATTGGGCTCAAGATGGTCAAGGGTATATTTGATTTCCACAGAAAGCTCATTAAGTTAAGAAAAAATACAATAGAGCGAGGCCTACATGATCCGTACTACTCAGGGTGCAAGTTATTACTGAAACGAAAAGAGAAAAATGTAATTGGTTTTCAGTAATTCTAATATATTTGCTCAGTAGTAACCAACCTACAGAGTTTTAAGAGATCAAACTTATGAGGACGCTTCCTTTATTTTTGGCACATAAATTACAAATGTAGTCACCTTCTCTCTCTTTGCATTTTGAAAACAAACACTGGTCTGGCTATATAGTTTTATCTTTTTATTCTGTACATAAGTGAGAGTGTACTATGAAATATATATTTTGCAGTATTGCAACACATCTTTGGTGAGAATGTAAACAAGATGCCTTATATCTTTGCATAAGGAAAATCACTTTTGAAATCTATTACATAAAACTGTGTATCCAGAAAGAGCTTCCAGATGCAAATAAATTGCTGATCCAGAATATTTGCAAAGCTATTGTATGCTTACATTATATAACAGACACTTCTTTTTTATTCTGCATGTTCAACAACCAAAGCTACAATCTTCACAATAAAAGCTGTTTTAATAGAAATTCCTGCCTAAATACTTCTTTTTAAAAAAAAAGATCTGATAGAACAAGTTTGAGAAATAACACGATACAAGCCTTGTATCCCTGAGGGTATGTTCCTGAACTTACCATAGAAACAGGAGATCATCGATAATAGCAAGCCCTGATGAATTACTTCTGCGCAAAGTTAACACAGGGTCACCCTGGAGTCCTAAATAATTCCTAAAGTGGGATCCCCTTTAAGAATTTGTTAGGTCCTATATGGCAACTTCTGGAGAAAGCATACCATAAAAATCACTTGGAGGACTGAGAACATTCCTAAAGGAAACATATTATGTCAGATGCAGGAAGGTGAAATCAAGGCTATTAGTTTTTAAAAATACAGAGATTGTACTGTATATGAGAAGATAAAGGAAGAGCTCTCTACTGACATTTTGTGACTGTTGTCGGCCAAAAATGTTTAGCAGGCAACACATTTCCTGATCTAATTCGATGCCTATCTTCAAGTCATTAAATCTACCCAAGACAGCCCTCTAAGTTGGTTGTGGATGTTCTATAATGAACTCTCCACTCAAAGGTGCTACTTTTAGCAATCCACAAGTAATTTCCAGTGTATTATCCAATAATATGCTTCTAAAATTGTCACACACTATAAAGAATGACAATCAGTTACACAATTGATTAAACCCTTGTGCTGGCAGGACTGCTGACCAAAAAGTAGGCGGTTTGAATCTGGGGAGTGGGATGAGCTCCCGTCTGTCAGCTCCCGCCTCTCATGTGGGGACATAAGGAAATCCTCCTGTAAAGGAGTTGATTATAAATTGTATGATTTTAACTGTATTTGTGTTTAGATTGGCTGCAGTAATGCTGGAGCGGCCTAAGTCAGAGGAGTCCTCCATGTGCGTTGCCATGGAGACCGATACAGGAGAGAGGGAAGTGGGAGGAGCTTAGAGGGGAGAGTTTTTAAAAACGACAGTTAAAAATCAGTTAGGGTTTAGGTTTAGAGCAGTCCGGGTTTAGGTTCAGAGGAGTGAGGAGTTAGGAGTTGGGAGAGAAGGAAAGGAAAGGTGGCAGAGTGACTTGTGAAGCAAAGCTTTGAGGCTTTGAAAAGCTGGGTTTGGCTATTGGAAGTTTCTCAGGCTAGTGCAGCTGAATGGTGAGACATAGCTGGTATTCTTTTAGTCTAAGGAGAGGCTAAAGAATAGTTTACTTAGTATTTGATCTAGGGAGGATCAAATGAGGGAAACATCCCTGTATTGAAACTTTGTCTGAAACAAGTGCTCTACGTCAGAAAGATACTGTGTTACTTGAAAGAATGAACTGTTAAAGTTACAAGTATTATTCCAAGTGCAACAAGGAAAAGTTACGTCTTGCAACCACACGTGTACTTAATAAAATTGTTAACTCTTATTTGAAGATTGCCTCAACTCCGTCTATTCTGTGTACAAAGTGCCATTTCTCATAATATTACAACTTACCTCACGTGGTGGCAGAAACGCAGGGAAAAGTAACCAAATAAATCTACATTCTTCTCTCCAGTCACACTACAGTATATACAGTGTAATTACTCCTAAGTTATTACTTTCTTAATAAAGGAGGAGGTGCAATTGAACAGCCTCCCTTCTAACTTGGTGGTAAATTTGGTTCCTAATCGGCAACCTCCATTTCAAATCGGCTAGTTCTTTTTAAAATAGGGAACTGGGGTAAAATCTCCTGAATACTGGTTCCTTTCAAATTGGTGGCAACAATAAATCATCCCTCCTCTCCCCTGCTTCCTTTCACCTCCCACAGGATGGTAAAACATCTGGGCGTCCTCTGAGCAACGTCCTTGCACATGACCAATTCTCTCATACCAGAAGCGACTTTCAGTTTAAGTCACCCCTGACATAAAGAAAAGTCCTTTGGTAATTTTTTCCCCAAAAGGTATTTGCACAAGCCAAATTTGGTACTTCCAAGGAACACATTGTGCCTACTATCTATCTGTATGTTTACAGTTGAAAGGCCACTTGAAAACAACTAGTAACAACTAGCATTACTGAACACACAGAAATGCTAAGCATATCAGGTCTGGATTATACTTTTTCTCACAGTCAAAATGAACACAATCACCTATTACTTTCATCCCAAAGATGAAGAAATTTCAGATTTTGGTCATTCCTTATTAAAAAAACAGCTGAAATAACGTTTTTATCCATTTTTCATCAGCAGCTCAATTAAAGCCAGCCAGTTAAACTAACCAATCCTCATTTATCGCAATGTGTTAATATGAGATCAGAAGCACTGTAAGAAATCTCAAATAGAGATAAATAGATAAAGTGCTGAGCGCAGACATCAGTATTGTCCAGAAAGTCACATAGGTCATTTGGGGAGAAGGGAGATAACTGTTCATTAATTAAAATATCATTTTACTTCTTTTGAAAGGCAGAATTCCCATACTAGCTCATCTACAAAAAATGCTATTAAATATCAAAGTACCATACTTCAGTAATAGCTGGTAAGGAAAGCAAGGTTGGTGTGGCAAACCTGTTCAAACTTGAAGGGACAGAGAAGAGGGGGACTATAAAGTCCCACTAGGAAGTTGAAGACTAGACATACTGTTGCCAATTCACTTTGTATCAATTCCCTTGCCAAATGGGGATTTGAACCTGGGCGCCCTCATTCCTAATCTATGACTCAAACGCTACACCACACTGGCTTTGTTGGCACACACAATTTGTAAAAGCTTTCTCATTTTAATCATGGCAGATGTCTGTGTTTTTCATGGCAACACCTTGTTAGTGGTGAAAAGACATCACAAACAGTATAAGAGCTAAGAATTACCTAGATAGATTACTGGAGAGAATAGTTCCTCTTTGCCAAAATGTTGACACATCTTTTCTATTAATAATGGACACTTTTGATCAAGGTTTTAAAAACCCAGTTTTATAATGTACTGAAAGGCTTTTTTGTTAGTTCACCCTGTTCCTTGGCTAAAATCTATCCTGGCAATCACTTAAGTTCTTGATTTGCTGCTCAAATTCCAGGTTACTCTAGTTCTCAGCCTTTCATTGTGAATGCAAAGCTTTTAGAAGAACCACTTTGCACTGAAACTTGAGCAACATTTCCAAGAGTTTTAAAAGTTACTTTAAAAACATTAATTACAGTTATAATCCTAAATTTCTTTCCACCATCCTTTATGCTACAGTTACAAGTTATATTATTTTCTTTCCTCTTCTTCCAAAGCAGTACATTCATTTAAAATATCTTAGAATGCTACAGACTGCTAGTCTGTTGTACAAAACATCCTGGTTCTCATTGTCATCTCATGGCCCACAGCAGAGGACGAGAGAGCAGCAAAGCACTTGAACTATGTGATATACCTCCTCCACCATTTAGTGAAGACTTTTTCCTGTATCTGTTAAAGTACCTTCAGTTAATGTTACCCTATAAAAGAAGCAAAGTTCTTTCATTGAGGGTCTTCCAGACATGGCAGAAGACTAGGAGGAAGTAAGTTAAAAGTACATTGGCCATATAATGAGAAGACACGAATGCTTGAAGAAGATAATGATGCTGGGGAAAATGAAAGGAAAAAGGAAGACGGGCTGAATCAAGGGCAAGGTGGATGGATGGTATCCTTGAAGTGACCAGCTTGACCTTGAAGGAGCTGGCGGTGGCCACAGCTGACAGGTAACTCTGGGGTAGGCTGGTCCATGAGGTCATGAAAAGTCAGAACCGACTGAACGAATAAACAACAAGAAGCATGAGGGGGCAAGCAAAAGCCAGTTGTTAGCTGTTTTGCGTGACGCCATGAGTTACAGAACAAGATTTAAGCAGAGTTTGCAGGAGTGACTTTAGGGGCTACAAATCCCAGATTCCCACAACTACAACTGGGGGAGGGGATTCTATTCCCCAAAATAATATCTCCAAGCTCTAGATTTAACTACAGTGGAAAGGTTGCCATGCCCTCTCCCTCTGGTGGCCATAGTAGAACCAGCTTGTATCTGGTAACAGGCCTCAAGTGGAACTGGAAAGAGGCACAATGTCAACCAGCTCAGTAAACCTCTTTCTTTCCCTCCATCATATTTAGCAATGGGTGGAAAGAAATATAAGGAACTGCACAACACTTTTCCAGTGCTCCTTACTTATTGAACTTTGGACACCTACCCAACTACTAACCTAAATCTGTTACTCTAAAGGAGAGGAAAAACAAAGTTTCACAAACCAAATTATTTATTTGGGATAATTGTTAAGTTCTAAAAGCTTCATTGTGTATTCTCTGCATTTTGGTTAATCAAGAGCACAGGCATGGGCAAACTTGGGCCCTTTGGGTGTTTTGGACTTCAACTCCATGGGAGTTGGTCCAAAACACCTAAAGGGTCCAAGTTTGCCCATGCCCACAATAGAGGTATGCCTTTTTTGTGTGCACATTTTGGATTCTGTTATATTAAACCAGATTATGTCCACTTGAGAAATTCTGCATAATATTAGTGCAGATAACACCATCTACTGGCTGTCTACAGAAATGCCCTGAGAAGAACAAACAGAACAGAATCAAGAGATACCCATTCATCTGCTATCAACTTCAGTCGCTGATTACCTCCCAAATCAGTATATTTTTTAAAAAACTCTCCCCTTTCCTCTTCAACTTCCTACTTTACTTAAGATGATTGTTCTCACTCTTTAGTTGTAAACAAGGCACAACAGTTTTCTTTCCTACACTCTTTTCTATCCGCTCTTACCTAAGGAGCATCATATTCCAAATAAAAAACAATTATACAAAAAACTTTATAAACAAACCAACTTTGACTTGGAGTTCAGTGTAGTCCAACTGCCTGGGCTTTGATGGCTGGAATAAAACAAGAGAAATAAACAAACAACACTGACATAATACATGCAAAGATATATTCTAGCATATTTGAAATTAATGAGAGAACGAAGTTTGTAACATAAGCTTTTGCACATTGAATTTTTTTCATCAGATGAAACTAGTTCATGAAAACTTATGCTACAAACTTCTTTTTCTCATTAATTTTAAAAAAATGCTA